GTGTTCATGGTGTAATCCCCAGAAAAACACACACCAACGCAACCCAGCTCAAATGATAAATAACATAGCTGACGGCTGATCTCACTGACGTCACTACTATAGAGGTTGCGTAAAATACGTTTTATGGATTCGAGGATTTTTCGCTTAAGAGTAGCAAATACTTTCCTATGTATTGAAAATATTTAATTACGTCTGCGTGATTCAGTGTATATTCGTAATATGACTGCGCACTTCCACGCATTTCCCTGCGGCAAGATTCCTCCCAATGTTCTCAGTTCGCCGGGTCTCGTCTTGTGCACTAGGCTGCTAATGACAGCCAGGTGTCGTGCTTGTGTAGTTTACGTCTGAAGAGACCGTTCGGTGAGACGACTTTGCGTGGTTGTGCAGGCGCATGGGGCCCTCCAACGCTGCTGGACCAGGAGCTGATGCAGCGCTTCAGATGCAGCGAGTGCGGCGCCAACTTTACTACATCCCGGAATTTGGAACGTCACATGGTTCTGCATAGGGGGAATCTACCGTTTAAGTGCGACGTGTGCGGTAAAACGTTCGCTCGTAAAGATTACCTCATTATTCATCAGCGCGTTCACACGGGACAGCGACCGTACAGCTGTGAAATGTGCGGAATGACCTTCAACCAGGCCAGCAGCTTGGCCCGCCACAAGCGCACTCACACAGGGGAGCGCCCGTATTCCTGCGACTTGTGTGGAAAGGCTTTCTCGCAGTCGGGCGGCCTGCGATATCACAAGGGCACACACACGGGCAAGCGCCCGTAAATGTGGCTAGTTTGAGGAAAGGTTTCGACTAGTCAAGATACCTCATTTTCCGCAAGCTAAGCTGATGGCATAACGACCGTTCGGCTACGGGTAGTGGTCTCGCCGCTGCTTCCCGAAAAGAAACTCGCAGGAGCATCAAATCATCCTACCGGTTTGTCGCGCAGTTAGTGGAACGGAAGAAGTGACGAGGAAGAAGAAGAAGAAGGGGGAAAAAACAACAACAACATCAACAACAAATTTTTCGTTCTTTCAACAGCCTGGACCATAATTTGTCAATAACGTGTTCACTCAGCTGTAGCATCTTTTTGAAGCGACTGGGAGTTACTTAAAAATCTTCCCTTACTGATCCTTTTGAGGCCTGGTAGATCTGACTAATTTAAGATGGTTGTCTATGCGTGGGAATCTATCTCCCTTACTGTAGTTTTGCGATTCATTGCCTGAGTCGGAGTGTACTATAACGGAACCGTGTAATGATATGATAAGAATATAATATACAGTGGACGTCGGTTAGTGAAATCACGATCATTTGTTTACTGTTATATTTATGTCCCGCCCGGACGAATATTACAACATTAAGAAAACGCCTTACAAGGATACAAAAAACAAGTTAACGAAACAGCAAGAAAAGCCTGTTTCCCTTGCACACTTGACTGTTCAAACTGCTAATATCTAGAGGTCACAGTAAGTACTACATGATCTTAGCGCGACATTCGAAATGCAAGAATTTACTGAAGAGTTCCGTCAATAACACAATGTAAAATCATAACCAGTGTTTAATTGGCTAAAAAAGACCACGGGTCTCATAAGTTCCGTCAGAACACCGACGGAAGGTGTTCAAACATTTCCAGTGGATTACCATGCAAACTCAATTCATGGATGACTGCTTCTAAATTTCAAGAATGGTTATTGAAGTGGGATAAAAGGCTGACTCAGAAAGTAATTTTATTGGTTGACAGGACACATAATGAATTGTGAATTAAAGAATAATAGCATTGTATTCCTACCGCCCAATACTTTAGTAATAGAACCATGTGACCAGGGAAGTATTCGAACTTAAAAGGCGTATTATCGCCATGAGATGTGCGCAAGAATTTTTAGGAAAATGGAAGAGACATAAGGAATTAGTTCGTAGTGCTAAAGATCTTGTAAGAGACCAATGTTATTGGTACCCTACATATCTTAGCTATGTTATGTCTAAAGTTTCTCCGAGAATAATTTCCTGCATGGGGTTTTTTCAAGAGGAACATCACAACGTGATATCATGTGCACAAGACCACCTAATGCGACGGAAAACAAAATTTGGGAATGGATGGCTGTGGACGGGAGTGGATGAAAACATTACAGCATCAGCTAGACATAAGCCGACGTATGTGAAATCGTCAACAAACGTTCTAACGTTCAAACTCACAAGTGGCAGCAGGAGAGTGAAGAGCAGAAGAAATTTTACAGTGATGCTGTGGAAACGTTTCGACCTTTCAACTACGTTTAGAATATAGGTGTTGTGGTGCGTTATCGTTGGCATTTTTCATGAAATAATTATAGACGGTATATACAATACTATTGTTGGCAATGACACCGTCTATAATTATTTCTTTCGACTACGGCTGAAATGAGGCAGGCATTAGAAATAATGCGACGCGGTGTTCAGCAGAAGTCAGTTGATTTCTTGAAATTCTACGAGTACGAGATTTGCATTAATCAAACTCTTAGAGAAAACCAGAAGCAGAACTTCGTTACATTATAGAAAATGTCTAACATGTAATATTTGTGTATATGTAATATGATTGCGTAAATAAATTTTCTTGATGAGGGGACCAGTGAATATATTATGAGTGGATGTGTTCCCCATAGTCAATTATTTGATACAGAATTCTTTTTCATGTGTTAATCTTCAATTAAAATATTTCGCCTATTATTAATCGGTTAACATCATATACCGGCGGTCCGAACTGATAACAATAGCGGCCCCCATTATGGATTTCTACGCGTCTGTTTCATTCCGTTCATAATTTGTATATCAATGTCTCTTGGCAGGTCTATTTTCATGTTGGAATTGATTTGTAATATTTCCTTCGTGTGTTCTATTCGCACGAAGTGATTACTAGTGTTCTTCGGTCATGAGGTAATATTTTGAAATACATTTTTTGATTCTATATGATGTAATCAATTCATGTAAGATCGAAGTTTGAAACTTTGTGGTGTAGGAGCAGATGAAACCATTGTCTTTATAGAAAATTAATGTACAATCCACAAAATGGATTTGTCAAAGTTGATATTTTTTCCTTGTAGTTCAAACTGATAAATTTTGAGTTTTGTGTTCCCTTTTGCGCCGAACTGTTCCACACTGTATGTCGATGCTCAAATAGAAACGTGATGATAGAATGACAAATTTAGGAATATCTGGTATCCACAATAAATATTCGGATTTTCCTTTATAATGCTTGGTGTATTTTTTTCTTATTATATTGTTACGATATTCTGAGGAGTCCTGTACTTGAGTTTGGTGGGTGTGCTTGGGTTTGGTACGTGGGTTTCATCATTTCACCATTTCATCATTTGCGGACTAAGCCAAGGTCTATTTAGGTTTTTGTTCTTTCATTTCAATATGCTTTTGATTATTATTTATTATTACGGAAAATAACAAAAATGTTTGTGAAGAAGTATTGAGTAAATTGCGAAAAGGAATGCAGTTTTTTATAGAAGTAAAAAATCTAAGGATTTTATCTTTTTTTGGCCGCGCCATGTCCCCGTTTTCGTGACGCCATGGACGCCTTGGTGCAGTGAACGAATGAGGTAGCGCTGTCTTTGCTCGCTAGAATTACTACTTATCGGTACTGTGGCCGGACCGTTCGTTGGACGGAAAACAGTTTATTTTGGGGAACATGTCTCGGTATACTAAATTCATTGGAGTGAATTAATTTTATTTTTACTGATACGTTGTTGCTTGTCATTGCTTTCGATACGGAGCTCGATATTCAGTGGATCGAGAGGATCGCGACGACCAGGGAAATATGAAAACAGTTCAGTGTTAATATGAAATGACAAACCGAGTCAGGTTAACTAGTTATTTAGTAAATAAGTAAATATGAATAATTAAAATTAGGTAACAAATAAAATCATATCCACGGGCGTTAACTGGTTTTAATGCTCCCTATTTTTTGGTGCCGCTCGATGATTAGAACCCTTATAACGCCCTTGGTGCGTAAATATTATTCGCCAGTTAATAACGATTAATCGCAATTGGTACGACAAATATTATTTTATACAATTAATAAACACATATTTAGGCCGAATAATCTACACATCGATTAAAATGTACAAGTTCGATCTTTTCAATATTAATTTTTTTAAATTCCAAATGTATTTAAATTTAATTTAAAAAATGCTGCCATTTCGACAAAAGCTATTATCGTAAGCACTTATTAACAGGGCAGGGTATTCGGTACGCCGGCTTTAAGCGATCTCGACAGCGATGATTGGCTCATTAATTATAAAATTAACCAATCAATCAATGACTTCAAAGACTCCCAGAACCGTCGTGTAGTCGAACGAAACAATGATAGACCCAAATATTGTTGCTTTCGAGCTAATTCACTAGGTTACACCAGCGTGTATAATGAAAATTACTATTTACTGGGGTGTACTTCTAACGCATTCAACTGATCATACATTGATGTCTGTATAAACTACTGGTGCTACAGAATGCCACAGGCTTTCCCGTATTAGTTTTCTATTTCCTTTAATCTCGGCTAGCTATTCGGATTTGCCACATACTCTTGCCAATTGCAATATATCGCCGCCCAAAGTACATTTAAAAAAATTCTAATTTTTTCGGAGTCTTAATAGTAGACTGGAAATATTATTTTAGGAATATTCAAGAACAGTAAAACATTGTCCTCAATGGCAATTGTCTTTAATGAATTTGGTGACGCTTTAAGAAAATGGCGTTTAAACGCTCCTGTAAATTCGAATTACTCTCGCACTTTTTCACATACATTTGTTTAGCTTCCGAAAACCTTTTACTAGACATCATTGGAAGCACTTTAACTCACAAATTCAGTAGTATTTACAAATTGCTGCAAATGTGTATATGAGCGGCGTGAGAAATCTTTTAAAAAACCATTTTTGTAATTTTCGGAAAAAAATAATACCCCAAAATTAATTTTACGTAATATTACGTTAGCACTATCTGATCGAAAAGTTCGAAGAAAAAATTTGGGGCCATTTTTTGAGGAAATGGCGTTTAAGCGTTTCTAAAGATGAGAAATTCCAGCTAGTTTTCACAGAAAACTGTTGTTTTCGAGAAACTTTATGACATAATTTAAATCACATGTACTCATTAATATAAAAATTGGAACATATCGCCGCTAATGTAAATATTAACGACGCGAGAGACACGTCAATATTCTTTTTTAAATTTTTGAACAAGAATAGATTATACTTATGTTTATATCATCTCATAAAGTATACTGAGCACTATCGCTACCAAAATGTGAAGCAGTTTTAGAGAAAATAGTTTTTTGTTATTTTTTTAAATTACACATTTTGCACGCAATACTACAAAAAAATTCAAAAAGTACATGATCTTAATAAAAACTCTCTATGTAGAACAAATTTAATTTGAAGTAAAAATGTCAAATGTTTAATTTTGTAGAAATAGGCAGATGCTCGAAAATATTCAGAATGTTCGAAAGTTGTTCCTGAAAGTCTGACCTATACCACCTTCATAAGTGTGTTTTATTCTGTTTTCCAGGAAATTAAAAAAAAAAAAATTGGAGCAGTTTTGAGAAAATTTCGAATGTGTCCGGGTTGCTTCATGAAAGGAACCCCAAAACTTAATGGTTTTCAAAATTGCAGAGCTTCGATTCAGGCCAGATCGAGTGGTATTTTTTCAGTTTGGAAAATATCGCTCTCATGGATTAGGTGCTATTGTTGTTCACTTAGTACACAGACACGGACGGACATTTTGAAAGACAAACAAAAAAACACTTATTCGGTGTCAGGAAATCCCAAAACGCGTATTTCTGTTGAAATCTCGAAATCAGTTTTCCGCAGCATTATGTAACTTCCCCTATACTACGTATATACTTATGTTTTGCAGAAACCATGATAGGTTGGCAAACAGTGTTAGCTATTCTTGCTTGCCGCGAGCACACTTTGGCATCACATCGAGTTTGTTTCCCAAAGTCGAATAACTAGTACCTGGGAAAATAGGCATTGTGGGCTTGTTAAGGGTGAGTGCAACATTAGCATAATGTTTCCCTGCTCTGAATTGGATCTCGTGCTCATAGAAGTGATAGTTTCCTAGATGGACATGCTCTCAATAGGCATGGCTGCATAAACCCCGCGGGAACGACAGTTTGTTTACTTGGAAGTGTGGATTTTCTTTCCCTTTTTATAACAGCAGCATTGTCTTTCAATTCTGCACATAAAAATAGTGATTACATGTAAAAAATAAAAGGCAAGATTTCGACCTGGTAAGTTGCGCCGGGCTTCAACTGTGCTAGGCCGCCTATGGCCGCCAGTTGCAGTGCCCATGTCTGAGCAGAGACCGTTCTGTGAGACGACTTTGCCTGGTTGTGCAGGCGCATGGGGCCCTCCAACGCCGCAGCACCAGGAGCTGATGCCGCATTTGAGATGCAGCGAGTGCGGCGCCACCTATAGTACATCCCAAAAACTCATGCGTCACATGGACCTGCACAGGAGAGATCTATATAAGTGCGACCTATGCAGTGCAAGTTTCGCTCGGAAATACTACCTCAACCGGCACCAGCGCGTGCACACGGGACTGCGACCGTTTAGTTGCGACGAGTGCGAAATGACCTTCAACACGTCAAGCAACCTGATTCGCCACAAGCGCGTTCACTCAGGGGAGCGCCCTTATTCATGCGACATGTGTGGACAGACGTTCACCCAATCAAATGACCTCGTAATTCATAAGCGAATACACACGGGCGAACGACCTTATTGTTGCGATATTTGTGGAATGACTTTCAAACAAGCAAGCACCCGCAATATACATGCACGCAGGCACACGCGACCGCGGCAGTAAAGGAGTGGCAGCATCCTGTGTAGCGAGCTGATGCTCTGTCAGCGCTTGCACGCGGTGTGTGTTTAGTGCAAGGCGAACCCTCGCCGCTTCTTCATCAAGAGAAACGTGTTGCGTGCTCTGCCGCCCCTTCCGCTGGACTAGCTCGTTCGCCAGCGGTCGGTGAAAATGGAACGACGAAACTATAGTACCTTCTCTTTATCTCGCCGTAACGGAAATGAGATGACTTCTGCAAATCATGGGAATATAAATAATTGACCGAGAATAAGAAAAAGTGCTTGGCTTTTTTTCGTGGTTACCATTTTCAAATAGGAGCTGTTCAATCCACTTTTCATTAAATAGGCGTCTGTATTTACATTTCATTTAATATTTTTATCAAAAAAAATTTCACGAGTGCTCTCATGGTCGTACTTGAGGCCCTGCGAATTTGTAACTGATTTTTCGTTTCTGGAGGAAACTTTACATGGATTCCGTGGTACAATATCAGAATGATCTCACAAAATGTCTGCAATTTTTTTAACTTGATTTGTTGAGCGATTTCAATCGCACGTTTCAGTTAGCAAACTTCTAAAATGATATTTTAATGACGCTCGTGGAATGTAGTTTTCAATTCCTTTCCAGACACACGAAGAAACAATTAATAAAAATGTATTAAATTACGAAATAAGTCAGACATTATCAGTGCATAATAGCTATTCTTGCCATCACGAGGTAACATTAAACGTTTTTCACTAGTTTTAGACCAGTGTAATTGCTAGGTAAGTGAGGCTTATCCGCCGGCGTATGTCGGTTGTGACCACATGGGTTTGGATGGGACGGGACGCACTAACCCATGAACTCCAGCCAAGGTTGGAGACATGATGAGCGAAGAAAAGATCGCGAACGGTCTTTAATACTTGTGTAGGGTACTGTTCTGTCATTCTCCTAAAAGTGAAGGGAACCACCGAGCAGTAAACCTACGAAATTGATGGCCAATCGGAGAAAACAAATTATTTGAAATAGTTCCTGCACGCCGTTGTTTTCAAATTAAGAGTATTTTATCAATCTGTCCTTTAGATTGCTCTCAGAAATCAATTTTCCCTTTTGATATGTAGAAAAATCGGGAAAAGTTTACGAAGGAACGAGTAAGTCTTTGTGATCTGTTGCTAAACTTATCTACAGGTCTATAAATCATATTGTTTGGCGATGACACAAAGATTCTCTTAAGAAAGCTAAAGTATCATACTTCCTGTAACGAAAACAAAAGTCAGACGTGGGGCTCTGAACACGACACGTAATAAACACAGATGCAACGTTTATTCTCGCCCTCGGGATATGGTTTACATTCAATTAGATCAACTGTCAAATAATCTTGAATGTTAAAAGAACTGTGTTGATTTAAAAAAAATGTAAATCAAATGTATCACAAATAACTGAATTATTTAATAAAACAACCGAAAACGAAAACTAGATAAGAATTCTTCATTCAAACATATTTCTGCCCCATGGCAAAAATATTTATACAAGGCATCATTTGATAAGGTAATAAATATGAATTAGCAGTAGCAATTAATGTAAACAACACGAATCTTGGTTGTATGATGGAACAAATCTGGCAAATACATATTCGTGTAAAGCCAAATATACTCCGCTTCGAGCCGCTTTAACTTGCGTGTGTACTTCCGTTTCTGGATTTGGAGGGGAAAGGAGAGAGGCATCTGAAGTTTGAACCCGTACTTGTAGGAGGGCCGGGCTTCCCAGATGGACAAGTAGCTCCTGCGGGAGCAATTTGATAGGCCTGTTTTACGAGAAGACTAAGGGACGTTGGTTGATCTTTGAGAAGTGTAATCCGACGTTCATCGCATTTTAAGGATAGTTGTGCGGAAGGAAGCGATTCTTAATGCAAAGTTCGGTCTGAAAAGCTGTTACCATTTTCCGCAGCCTGAGTAAAGACGTTTGCAGTTTCTGTAATCCACGGAATCCTTTGTGACCTTTCCTCTGCTCCCTTCTAAGTTACGCTGGGCCTCGTCAACTGCTGCCGGCATTAGCCCGTTGCCGAGCTCAGGAGGTTTGTGACTGAAGAGACCGTTCGGTGAGTCGACTTTGCATGGTTGTGCAGACGCATGGGGCCCTGCAACGCTGCAGGACCAGGAGCTGAGGCCGCTCTTGAGATGCAGAGAGAGCGGCGACTCCATCAACACACCCCAGAAACTTACGAGTCACATAGGCCTGCATAGGAGAGATCTGCAGCACAAGTGCGACGTGTGTGGTAAAACTTTGGCCCGGAAATATTGCCTTATTATTCACAATCGTGTGCACACGAGACAGAGACCGTTTTCCTGCGATGTGTGCGAAAAATCCTTCAGTAAGGCATGCAACCTGTCTCGCCACCAGCGCGTTCACACAGGAGAGCGCCCTTATTCATGCGACGTGTGTGGACAGACGTTCATCCAATCAAATGACCTCGTAAGTCATTAGCGAATACACACGGGCAAGCGACCATATCGTTGACCTATTTGTGGATTGATGTTTAACAAGTCTGGCACCCTTAAAGTACATGTATGCAGACTCGTGACAGCGGCAGGAAACATGGGACAAAGTGTTTTTGAAGTCTGACGAACTACTGTATTCAGACATAAATGCAAAAAACGCATCTTTGCATTATTAAATAATAAAATTGTTTAACAAGTGCTTCCCATTATTCATAATTGCGTTAATGAACTATTACCTATGGTTGTTGAGTAAAAAAATATCCCAATTTTAGAAAATGAAATAGAAGTATTTCTATTGTTAATTTAATAAGGAGCAAATTTTTGCTCTTATGAATTATGAAAGGTACGCACATTTTCAATGTAAGAGAGGAATGTGTAATAAATACCAGGGTTTCATTATCGCTTATTTCATACTCTTCTCTGCATTACTTCAGTTTTGATTGGTAAGGCTCTGGTAAAATCAAATGTAAGAAAAAGTAAAGGTTTATTTCCAAGTACGTATAACTATTAGAAAATTTTGAAGTATTTGGACATAACGCGTCACGTACAGTTTTGTCTTCTGTTTGACGAATGTAAATGAAAATCAAATACAGTTTAAAAATTAGAACACGTGTGATACATGTAAATTATATCGATAACTTCTGTGGATAAACGCGCAGTGGTTCTAAATAGTAAACTAACAAGTTTCACAGTAGTATAATTCCCAACCGTTTTTTCTTAATAAAAAACGGAATAGAAGATTTGAGTGGGCGAAAACCAGAACGGTACAAGTGACATTTTAAAAATTTTGTGAAAATCGTGTAATTGTTTGGCTATATTTCGGTGGCATTGTAATGTCATGGTTTTAATAAACAATTGGAATGCCGTCGTTTTTATGAAGACCTAAAGCACCACGATGTTGCATTGATGTTGAATTAAATAAACAGTATTGTCAGAATTTAGAAAATGAAACTTATCTGGCTTTCACCTTTTTCATATAAACATATAAAAATGATTATGCCAAAAATATAAAACATACTGTTCGTTGTACGTGCAAAGAGAGGAAAAGCCTTGATTTTCTTTTGCACAAAAACACCAATATAATGAGAGCGGCGCATCTAAAAATTCATTAAATTATCAACGAGAAATATTTAAAATCATCAAAAACTAGTGGCGCTAGAACAGCACATACTTTCTTGCAATATTACAATGGAGCAAGGGACTCCCCGTCTCTCCCTCTGTCTCATTCTGTCTCTCTTCTCTCCCCGTCTCTCTCTCTCTGTCTTCCCGTTTCTCCACCTCCCTTTCTCCCCTGTTCTCCACCTCTCTCCCCTGTTCTCCCTCTCTCTCTCCCCTGTTCTCTCTCTCTCTCCCCTTTTCTCCCTCTCTCTCCCCTTTTCTCCCTCTCTCTCCCCTTTTCTCCCTCTCTCTCTCTCTCTCTCTCCCCCCTTTTCTCCCTCTCGTTCTCGCTGTATCTGTATTTCTCATAAACATTTAGTTGTAGATTCTGCCCATCTAAGCAGGTGGCTAATATCGTAAACCGGCAGACAACCAAATATATAATAACATTTTCAAGACCTCAGATACAGATTTACGTCGTTTGAAACGTGTTTTGAAGACGCGGGCCTCAAACATTTAGTTTTTAAACTCCTAATCGTAATTGTTCATAAATGTATAACAAACGCTCCAATGTAATAAACGAACCAATATATATGAAATAATATTTTAACTTACGTAACATTCATCTGCTAAACACTTAAAATTACGATCAAAAAGCGCAATATTTGGAGAGCGTGCTTTAAACTTCCACGCCCCAAAATACTAATAATTTCGATAAATACCTTATTTGAAAATCTGATTTTGATGAACACATTTCATGAGGAAGAAAGTGTATCTTCATAATTGTAGTTGCAGTTGACACCGAAAAACATGAATTTTTCAATGGTCGAAAAATCGGTGTTTTCAACCAACATTAGATGTGCACCGTTTTCGAAAGCATCCTACTTACACATTATTCTCCCTAATGATTAATATAAATGATTACGAGAAAAATACTCAACATTTTCGAAAAATTGTAAATGACTTAATTTCAAAATCTATCTTGAAGATAGATTTTATAAAGTTAAAAATGTTTATCTTTAATATTTTAAATGTAGGAAGACGCCGAAAAATATTTTGAATTTTTTCAATTTTGAAAAAATCTGTTTTTAACCAACATGAGATCTGCGCCATTCTTTTAAACGTCTTTCAGATAAACAAAATTTAATCAAAATAGATGGCGCCATTTTTTTGAAAATGTCCAAGAGGTTCGTGTAAAGTACCTCCAAAATTAAAATATCGGTTTAAAATTCAAGGAACCGTGGCATCAGCTAGGTGAATATTGGGGAATATCAATTTTGGAGATCGACTAAACGGTTTAAAAGCTAGCGTTGTTCACAAATGGATGGAAAGACTTCTGTCGTCAAACGATTTTTCGATATCTAGGATCTACAAAACATGGATTCTGGTAACACCACGTGTTATGGGATTTTCTTTCTATATTTAGCAACTGGAATTTTCTCCTTTTTCCTTTACAAGGGCCCGGCAATAAAAGTTTTCGTATCGAAAATCCGCCGTATTCGGGCGCACAATTACAATACTTTCTCTGCATACTCGGCTCGAAGGATCGCGGGGATAGGATCCCGCCTCGGGCATGAATGTATTAGTGATCGTCCCTTCACCCTTCATCATCCTATCACTTCATTAAAGAAGGATTAATAATTCTCTGCGCGAGCAGGAGGCTAGTGTAATTTATATGTGTGTGTGTGTGGGGGGGGGCGTGGGCGTGTGTGTGTGTGTGAGCTACCATCCCTGTGTAGGTGCCAAATGGACCTGCATTAGCATCAATTTGTTCACATTATGAGTACATGTACTTTAAATAGTCATATAAAGATTTTCGGTAATAGCCGTTTTCTGTGAAAACTATCTCGCAATTTCTCATTAGTAGAAACGCTTTAAAACCATTTTCTCAAAAACGGTTCCAAATTTTTTCTTCGAACTTTTCGTACAGATAGTGCTAATTGCACTCTTTAATATGACGTACAAATCTGTATTATTTTGTATGTTCGTAAATTACACAAGTGTATTTTTTCTGTCACGTCCTTAAAATGCACATTTCCAGCAATTTGTAAACACTATTCTATTTGTGAGTTAGTGTTTCAAATGATTTCTAATGAACTTTTTTCAAAAGTCAATTTTTTTCTGTCAAAAACAGCTTGAAATTTAGTATTTGCGGTAGCTTAGGATAGCTTTCGTATTAAACGCAATTTTCTTAAAAATGACTCCAAATTCTTCAAAGAAAATTGCCTTTTAGGACAATGTCTTACTGTTCTTAAATATACCCAAAATAATATTTCGGTTTTATTGTTAGAAAATCGAAAAATTAAGAGAAAAAAAAGTGTTGTGGACGGCGATAGATGTTAGCTGCCAAGAGTTTCTGGCAAGTTCGAATAGCTAGCTGAGACCAAAGCAAAAAGAAAAATAATACTGTCTGTGCCATTCTGTAGCACCACTAGTTCAAAGATGTTTTCGGGGTAATAAAAGAGACGAAATATTTTCGTTCAAGTAAATTCTTACACTCTCTTCTGTGGTTTATGTTTAAAGATTACCTCCAATTCATTGTATCGAAGAAAAATCTTTAACGCACAGAAATAACTATGAAAGAAGCAGCTATAAATGTGTGTGTGATGGAACACAATACTGAAGGTTTTTATAATTTTACTTCAGGATTGCAGTTATGTTGAGAACAGTGATTGTGATAGTGATGTTAGTGCAATCAAGCCCATGAATAATTGAATTATTTGTACCTCATCACCTCAGAAAAACACGGAGAATTTATATTGAAAACATAAACTGTAAGTACCCCGATTTCCTACCATACCATGGCGTTTTTAGATTCTGCAAATTATTTTCTTTTGTATGTTGAACAGTATACATACACGTTGCAATGTGTAAATTAGACAAATGCATATATACTATAGATATGGTTGAGGTGTCTCATCGTTATTGAAGTGCTGTGAACAGCTGTAGTGAAGGCGGTAGACATTGCTTGAACGTTTGGCAACAGTGCTAGGTAGCTGACAATCCCAAAGTTCCATCTCCCGCAGTATAATTGCATCGCATTTTACTCAGTACTTGTACGGAATAGGCGAGACTTCAGTTCAGTCCGCCCGGCCGAGGCAGTCCACGGCGAAAACTGCTAGTCGTTCTTAACTTAGAGCAGAGAAGCGCGTCTGCTATTAGTGCCCTCCAAGGCTCGTCAAC